TATAATTTTGAGATTATGTTCTTTTCAATTTGCAGCTTCTTCAGTCGAGTCTAATTTTTCTTGTTTCTAATTGCTCTTTTGTATACAGCGTTTTTCGTTTTATTTTGTTTATCGATTTTTTTTTTGCTATTATATCTTGATTTTTGAATTTTGCAGGTTCTGGGTTATCATAGTAGATAATATTTTAGAATTTTCTTAACTATTTCTTGCAAGATTTTGAGTGGTTTATTGCTTTTTGTTTATCTGTTGTTATATATATCTGGTTTATATCACGATCTCTGGCTCCATACCACATCTCTGGCTACACCTTTGCAACTCCGAAATTCGATCTCACCACTTCTCATATTAAAGCCTTCGAATTTTTCTGTTGGTGTTTTAAAAGTTATAGATCTTGGGTGTTAAATTAGTTAAATCTGTTTGACATGTTCGAATTTGAATACAAAGATAATAATGACCTCTGTATTTTACTTTTACATATTTAAGTAAGATATAAATTCAATCATTGGTTTCTTGTTGTTGGTCTAAAGTTAAGTAAGATAGTGTTAATTTATCTTAAAATTCTATTAAGTAACTAACTAGGCTTCTTAATACCCCTCAATTCTCTAGCGTTTTCATAGTTCCTCATAGCTTCGGCTATAGATGATTACTTGAGGTCATGTCCTTCTTTTAGATCCCATAGGGCGTATAGGGGGAGGGCTCGACATAGTGGTGCCAAGGAGACTAGACTTAGAGTTTGTTCGTTGAATGTAGGCACATTAAATGCTAGGCTGTTGGAGCTGACCGACGTACTTAGTAATAGGAAAATTGATTTTGCATGTATTCAGGAGACTAGGTGGAAAGGGGCTCACGCCAGAGAGTGTAATGGGTACAAGTTGTGGTATTCAGGCATAGATAATGCTAGAAATAGGGTGGGTATCTTGGTATCCTCTAGGCTCAAGGAAAATGTAGTTGAAATTTGTAGATACCGGTTAGGATCATGATGATTAAGGTTATTATAGAAGCGGAAGTGGTGAATGTCCTTTCAGTGTACGCCCCACACGTTGGCCTAGGGGATGGGGAAAAACGTTGCTTCTGGAATCAGTTAGATGATGTACTTAGGAGCATTCCAGAGGACCAAAGAGTTTTCATAGGGGGAGACTTCAATGGCCATATAGGTAGTGCAACCGACGGGTACGACGGTGTTCATGGGGGTTTCGGTTTTGGTAGTAGGAACGAGGAGGGGCGTACGTTGCTTGAATTTGCTACTGCACATGATATGGTGGTCACTAACTCCTTCTTTAAAAAGAGAGATGTGAACTTGATTACGTTCCATAGCAGGGGATATTGTACCCAAATCGACTACATTCTGGTTCGAAATCGGGATCGATGGTCTTGCATTGACTGTAAGGTGTTCCCTGAAGAGGCATGTGCATCACAACACAGATTGTTAGTTTTGGTATTCCACGTACGCCGCGGGCGGAGCACTCATAGGAGGGATAAACTTGATAAACCTAGGATCCTTTGGAAGCACTTACATGGAGCGACAGCTGATGACTTTAGGAGTAAGGTTTTGTCTAATACAAGTTTTAGAACTACAAAATTAAATAATACAGATATGTTATGGAAAAATATGGCAAATTCCATTAGAGATGTGGGTAAAAACACTCTTGGGTTGTCGACAGGGAAGGTCAAGGAACATAAAGAATCGTGGTGGTGGAACGAAGAAGTCCAAACTAAGGTGAAGAGAAAACAAACTTGCTTCAAGGAGTTTCTACAATGCAATAACGACGAAGAAAGATCGAGAGCTAAACAAAGATACAAGGACGCAAATCGGGAAGCCAAGAAAACAGTGGCTAAAGCAAAGGATAAAGCATACGAGGAAATGTACAAGAGATTAGACACCAAGGAAGGACAAAACGGCATCTTCAGGCTTGCAAAATCCAGGGAAAATAAGAAAAATGATATAGGTAGCATTAGGTTTATTAAGGACAACAATGGTGTTCTTTTAGTTAAAGATCATGATATTAAGAGGGTTTGGGGTAGTTACTTCTTTGGCTTATTTAATAATGGTGCCTCTCTCTGTAGAGATAATATTGTTGATAGGTCAGTCGACCATCATACTACGGCCAATGACTGCCCTACAAGTAGGATTGAGTTTGAGGAAGTCAAAATGGCTCTTAGAAAGATGGGGAGGGACAAAGCTGTCGGTCCAGATCAAATTCCTATCACTGTGTGGTTGACCCTAAAAGAAGAGGGAGTTAAGTGGTTGACCAACATCTTTAATATTATTTTAGAGACTGCCAAGATGCCAGAGGAGTGGAGAGAGTCTACGGTGATATCAATCTATAAGAATAAAGGAGATCCCCAACGTTGTGGCAACTACAGAGGTATTAAACTACTCAGCCATACCATGAAGCTATGGGAAAGGGTAATAGAGGCTAGGTTGAGACAGGTTACTAGGGTTTCAGAAAACCAATTTGGCTTTATGCTAGGCAGGTCTACTACGGAGGCGATTCATCTACTTCGACGACTTATGGAGAAATATAGGGAAAAAAATAGTGATCTTCACATGGCGTTCATTGACCTTGAGAAGGCGTATGATAGCGTTCCCCGCGATACGATCTGGAAGACCTTGGAAACGAGACGGATCCCAACTGCTTATATACTGGCGATTCGTGATATGTACTGTAGATCTACTACTACCGTCAGGACTACAGTTGGCGACACCAAGGCATTTCCGGTGGAAATCGGACTCCACCAGGGGTCGGCTCTTAGCCCTTACATCTTCGCCTTGATTATGGATGACATCTATTGTGCGACACCAGACGGTGTTCCATGGTGTATGCTTTTCGCTGACGACATTGTCCTAATTACTGAAACAAAAACTGAGCTGAATAGTAGACTTACTATCTGGAAGACTGCTTTGGAAGAAAAAGGTTTAAGGATCAATATTGAAAAGACAAATTATGTATGTTCAAACTTCAGTGGAAACCAAAACGATGAAGAAGTAGAAGTATGCATAGAAGGACACATTATCCCCTCAAATGATTGTTTCAAGTACCTAGGGTCTATGATACATAAAGATGGGGGTGTAGATGAAGACGTTACACACCGTATAAAGGTGGGATAGCTAAAGTGGAGGGCTGCTACTAGAGTTTTGTGTGACAAGAATGTGCCTCTAAAACTAAAGGGAAAATTTTATAGAATGGCAATAAGACCAGCGCTGCTGTATGGATCAGAATGTTGGGCAATCAAGAAGGATCACGTAAGGAGGATGGAGGCCGCAGAAATGAGAATGCTTCGATGGACATGTGGTAGGACTCTGTGGGACATGACACCTAACTCTGCTATTAGGATGTACTTGGGGTGGTGTCTGTATCCGAAAAATTGAGGAAGGGAAGACTATGGTGGTTTGGGCATGTCCTTAGGCGACAACCATCGGATGCGGTCAGGAGGGTAGAGTCGATTACAGTCGACGGTGTCAGAAGGAGATGACGACCAAGACGGAAGTGGGAAGACTGCTTGAGATCTGATTTGAAGGAATTAGCCCTTACCGAGGACATGACCTCTGATAGGAAAGTATGGAGACTTAAGACCAGGGTAGTTGAGTAGTGCGGTTCACAGCCATAGGGTGTAACATCTCTGTCTTCTTTTTAATGTCTTTGTAGTACTTTCCATGACTTCTACTTTATACATGTTTCTGTCATTGAAATGTATGAAGGCTTAGAACTAGGGTATCGGAGTAGTGTTGCCTTAGTTTAAGAATTAACTCATTTGAATTTATTCATTCTCGTAGCTTGCTATTATTGACTTTTGTGTATCATTTCTATTCATGTTTCCTCTTTTTAAATTTAGCTGAGTCTTACATTTTCAGTCTATATGCAGAGATTTCTATGTAGGGAATTATTTGCAGGGAATTATTTACAGGAATTACTCCCCATTACAGACGCACATATCAAGACTGCATATGAAGACTGTTCATCTATGTATTTATTTATTTATACACGCATTTGCATCTTATCTTTATTTTTAATTTTCTGACTGCCGGAGGTCTTCCACGGAAGCTGCTCTCAACCTGGCGTTGGGGTCAGCCTACTACCCTACCTCCCCTTACCCCATTGCATATGGGAATCAAGGTTTTGTTGTTGTTGTTGTTGTACCAAATGTTGTTATATATAATAAAAATTTAGATCTAAATTCTCGTATATGTGCACAATAAACTGCTTAAATCTGAATCGTTAAGAGAATGAAATTTATTTTAATCATTGAGATCATTCCAAAAATTTTACTTAACATATATTCAAATAAGAATATATATAATGGTTAAATATATGTATATTAAAAAATGGTAAACATACTCAGATTTTGATCCAAATTTGAGATAAGTATACCTTTACGAGTAAAGGCTTTGCTAGTACAGTCATTTTATAATACTAAGAAATTACAGTGCACATGCATGGGGTAAGCATCTTAAGATATAACAAAGTTTACGTTTGATCCACTGACCGAAACGGCGAAACCTTTAAAATAATAATAATAATAATAATAATAATAATAATAATAATAATAATAATAATGGTAAAGTAACAAATGGTTTTCTCACTATAATATGTTACTTTGTTGAGTCATTTGACTATTAAAAATTATAAAATAATCTTCTGATTATAGTATGTTATTTTGTTGAGACTCACGACTATTAAAATTTACAAAATGATCACCCCGAGTATTAATATATTTTAAACTTGTCATTTTCTGTTAACAAATAGACGATACTCTAAACTGGACGTTAACATGTTAACTGAGATATGATAAAGTCTGACCACATAAACTCAAACGACTTTCATATATAAATCAGCATGTTAATGTTAAGCTCGAACGACCGTCAATTTTTTAACAGAAAAAGACGAGTTTATAACATATGAATAACTGTGACCATTTTTTTTAATTTTAAATAGTTGATAGACTCAACAAAGCAACGCGTTATAGTCGGATAATAATTTTATAACTTTTAGTAGTTGAATGACTCAACAAAACAACACTCTATAATCGATAACATTTGTGTATTTTACCCTAATAATAATTTGGTTTATTATTACTTAAGTAAACTCCTAATTATAGCAGCCTCGGCACTATCGGCATCAATGGTAGCCAAGACCTGAGAGAGTCGGTCGCTTAGATCGTCCACCTCCTTATGCAAGCTTCTAACGTAATTGCATGTCTCTTGTAAAACCTTGGACGCTGATACCTGGACCAATTACGTAACTGACAAATTAATAAAGTGTTTGATGCTACAGAAAATGAATAATCCCAGTCTTTTTTTTATAACGATTGTAATATAATTATAACCTATTTTCTATACTAAATTTGAACTTTAATTTAATTATTTTTATAAAATTGTAAATTTGTAGCTTTTTTGTGACAAGGAAAGGTCAACATTTCCTCGACATCAGAAGGGTCAAATTTTCAGGCTGTGTTTTCAAAGACTAGTAGTATTCTAACTGAAACAGACTATTCCTATGCGGTACATGCAGCAGTGGAAGTAGTACATACGTATTCAGACATTTATTTTTCTTCCAGTTTCCGGCCACATACAAGTAACAATTCAACTTTTTTTCTTAGCTTGAATCGTACTCCATGAAACATTGATGAAAAAAATGTAATTTAAATTTACCTTGTCAGATCGGCTATTGCGGATCTCCGGAAGAAGCTGCCCTAACTTGGAGACAAGTTCAATTATCTGATCATCGGAAATCCGGGAAACGCCTCCACCCGACTGCCTCGACGACCTTCGGTTCGACATCGTGGAAATGAACACCAATCTGCTTTGTATTTCTTGGTGTATTCACCAAGGTGGAAATGCAAATGGGAGGTGTATAAATGGAAAATGTTGTGGGGTTGAGAAGAAGAAAAAATGAAAAATGGAGTAATGTTAGATGGAAGAGATGAAGAAATGGAGGAAGTGGGAAGAGGGATATAAAGAGGGAGAAATGAAGGACCACCTATGGAGACAGAGGGTGTACAATTACAAAGATAAGAGATGTTAGATGTGAATAAGACAATTGCATTGAATAAAGCAGCGTTTGGACTTAACAAGGGGTTTTTTCCCCCCGAGTTAAAAGTCAATATTTGTGTGTTAAAAAAGATTGCATTTGGAATTAGAAAATTAAAACACTAAAGATAATATTATTATTATAAATTTCAAATATAAAACAATAAAACGTATATGAACTTTAAAAGGACAAGGTCATGATAAAGAACAAAATGTAATGTATTAATTGTCTATAGCAAATTAAATTTGTATAGTGTAAATAAATATAAACTCGAATTTATATATAATATTTGTATTGATTCTGTTTCTTATTTGAATAAATTCACACACATCATATATACAATACTACTCGTATCAGGATTATTAAAAACTTTTACATTATATGTTATTATTAAAATCACTCTAGCAGTCCATTTAATTTTATTTTATTTTTTCGATCAATTTTAAATTTAATTCTAATTTTATTTAGAGTAGCAAGGAAAGAGTAACTTTAGGAGAATGAATGAGAATGCTCTTAGTCGGTCTAAAATTCATGTAAAAGATAACATGGGGAAACAAAAATGAACAGTTTAACCAATCAACCAAATGTAATTACTCAATTAAGGCTTAATCTTAAATGTGATTAATGAGAATGGATTATTTTTGAGCCAACAATGTGGGGGCTTGATAAGCATGTCTCAATTCACAATACCATGTGATCGACCATCCCCTTTCGCCCCTTCTTTTTCTTCATTATAGCCACTTTTTACACTAAAAGCTTATTAATAAATTGAATAAACTACGTTTGAGGAAGTAACAAAAAACTAATAATTTTATTTTAAAAAATTTAAAAATCGTGTTTGTTCGTTAATGAGAGGTCACGTTATTATTATTTTAGTGAAAACATAATTTAAGAATAAAAGTAAAATTATGGATATTTTTTGAAACAAGATATGTGCCGTTATTATTAATAAACTCAAAAGAAAACCAACAAACTGAGTTAATTTCAACATACAAAAAATAAAAAATTAAACATAAAGAAGTCAGAGCCATACAAAATTTTCTCTGGATTGAGATGCAATATAAGTATAAGATTTCTTTTACAAATTGAAATAAGCTAAGAAATTATCTAAGAGATAAATTAAATAATAATAATAACAATAAATCTAAATACAGCACCAAAATTAATCTTATACGACCATTCAATCCTACATAAATGGCGTTTGTTCTAAAAATATCATGATAACAATAAAATACAGGCGTTTGTTCAAAATACGTCGTTAAAAATACCGCTATAAATCTATTTTGTTGTAGTGTGACTCAATTAACCCTAAAACATTGCTATTAAAGGGTGGAGTATAATTGTTTTTCTTTTTTCTTTTTTTATCTATTTTCATTTATATAAATGGATTGGATGACATAACATGATATTTTAGATTCTTTTTAATATTGTGTTTTGCATGCAATTTTGTTGTGTTTCTATTGCCTCAGATTTGGATTCAGACATTTTTGTTGCGAAAGACGGCTATCGGATAGAGCAAAAACACAATTGATAATTTGAGAAAATAAAAATTGAAGATAAAATAGACACAAAATTTACGTGGAAACCCCTAAATAATATAGGGTAAAAACCACGGGTAACGGTAGAAGAATTTCACTATGAGAAAATAAGAATTACAACTTCTCTCGATCTACCAAGGAGAAAACAATGATAATTCTCTCTTGATAAAAAAAGGAGAAAACAACTCTCAAGAAAGTCTCTAAATTCTCTCTAGTATTGGAAGAAAGCTAGAATGCTTTAGGATGGTTTTGAAGCTAAATGAGCTAGGGTATTTATAGTTGAAGCTTAAGGATTAATCTTATAAATACCCTAAAGTATAATGACTAAATTGGGTAATTTACCCTTTACCAAAATTCAACAATTAGCCACCCAATTTGAACCAAAGCCTTAGCCGCCAGCTGCTACTTTGATATTTCAACAATCTCCCACTTGAAGATTTGATTGGAACAATCATATCTTCATACCCCTTTACACCATCAGTATACCCCAAGAATTTGCATTTACTGGATTTTGGATCTAACTTTGAAATTTCTTGGGAGTTGTACATCACGTACACAATACTTCCAAATACATGGAGGTTTGAAAAATCAGCTGGTTTACCAGTCTATATCTCTATAGGTGTCTTTAGCTCTATTGCAGTTGATGGAGCTCGATTCACCAAATAACAGGCGGTATTGACTGCTTCTGCCCAGAATGATTTTTCTAGGCCTGCATCCCTCAACATTGCTCTTATTCTTTCTAACAAGGTTCTGTTTATTCGCTCTGCCACTCCATTTTGTTGAGGAGTGTTCGCCACTATGAACTGTCATTTGATGCATTCTTTTCTGCAAAAGTCATCAAATTCTTCACTTGTGTATTCTCCTCCATTATCTGTTCTGAAACACTTGATCTTATTTCCAGAATCAAGTTCCACCCGCGCTTTGAAGCTTTTGAAAGTGGAAAACATATCTGACTTCTTCTTAATAGGGTACACCCAACATCTCCTGGAGTAGTCATCAATAAATGAGACAAAGTATTTTGCTCCACCTAGGGATGTAACTGGTGCTTGCCATACGTCAGAGTGAACCAATTCTAGAACACTTTTGCCTCTAGAATTTGATTTGTTGAATTTCAACCGGTGCTGCTTACTTGTTATGCAATGGTCACACAAATGAAGTGTTACCTTTGTTAAGTCTGGAAGTAGGTTTTGCTCCACAAGGACTTTCATTCCTTGTTCTGACATGTGTCCAAGTTTCTGATGCCATAGCATTGCAGAATCTAAACAACATGAGGCAACAGAGGCTTCTGCTTCTAGCAAAGTCTCTCCCTTCAGCATATACAAGTTTGCTGCTATCTGTATGCCTTTCAGCACCACAAGCGCTCCACGAAACACCTTCATGATTCCATTCTGTGTTTCAATCTTGCTTGCATTATTATCCAACAATCCGTAGGATAATAAATTTTTCTTCAGGCCTTTCACGTGCCGTACATCTCGAACAACTTTAACTGTTCCATCATACATCTTCAATTTGATGGTTCAAATGCCAACGATCTCTAAGGCATGATCATTACAACTATACACAGATCCTCCTGAGACAGGTTCATAATGATGGAACCATTCTCTTCTTGAGGTCATGTGATATGTTGCTCCCGAATTAATGAGCCATATATCTGCATATCTCTTTCTGCCTTTCACGGTGGTTGACACTTCACAACATAGAGCATCTCCATCATCTGAAGTGTTTACGGTATTACCTTGTGGATTGGAGTTTTTATTTAGACTCCAACAATCCTTCTTTAAGTGACCCTTATTTCCATAGTTGTAACACTTTAAATTCTTTTTGCTCCATCATCTAACTTGTTTGTTTTCCTTATTCTTGCACCGATTTTCTTCTTGGAGAACAACAGCTGCAACGTCATCGAAGACTAGACTGGTGACATTACTGTTTGTCAAGTTGATGATGAGTTGATCATACGAATCAGGTAGACTTTGAAGTAGAAGTTCAGCACGTTCTTGTTCTCGTATTGTACATCTTAAGGATGTAAGCTGAGAAAATAACGTGTTCAGTGTGTTTAAGTGCTCCGTTACTGAAGTAGATTCTGACATACGGAGAGTGTACAATTTCCTCTTAAGGAAAATTTTATTGTGCAGCGATGTGGCCTCATACAATTTGGTGAGATGATCTCATATCTTCTTAGTTGTCTTCTTCTCCTCAATTCTTGACAATACTTCATCTGCTAATGCTAGATGAAAGTTTGTCATAGCATTCCCGTCCATTTCGATCCATTTGTTGTCATCTGTGAAATCCACCGGCCTTTCACTTATAGCTGCTAGACAACTTTCTTTCCTCATGATGACCTTCATCTTCAATTTCCACAATGAGAAATTTCTCCCATTGAATTTTTCAATATCAAATTTCTTTGTCATAGCTTCTTTTACGGATAGCTCCCACTATTTCACTATCGTGAATAGTTCTTTGGAGCCTTCAAAGAATGGGTAATAACTTCTTACTTTCTTATGTTGGAGGATCCACCTTTTGGTGGCAACCACAAAGACAATAAGCAGATATTACACAATCAAATCTGGCTCTGATACCAATTATTGCGAAAGATGGCTATCGGATAGAGAAAAAACACAACTGATAATTTGAGAAAATAAAAATTGAAGATAAAAGAGACACAAAATTTACGTGAAAACCCCTAAATAATATAGGGTAAAAACCACGGGCAACAGTAGAAGAATTTTACTATGAGAAAATAGGAATTACAACTTCTCTCGATTTACCAAGGAGAAAACAATGATAATTCTCTCTTGATAAAAAAGGAGAAAATAACTCTTAAGAAACTCTCTAAATTCTCTCTAGTATTGGAAGAAAGCTAGAAAACTAGAATGCTTTGGGATGGTTTTGAAGCTAAATGAGCTAGGGTATTTACAGTTGAAGCTTAAGGACTAATCTTATAAATACCCTAAAGTACAATGACTAAATTGGATAATTTACCCTTTACCAAAATTCAACAATTAGCTGCCCAATTTGAACCAAAGCCTTAGCCGTCGGCTGCTACTTTGATATTTCAACAATTTTGTCTTACAAAAAAATACTTATTAATAAAAAAATATTTAAAAATACATACATACTCAATTTATAAGCATATATATGAAGTTATGAAGTAGTTGATAAATTAAAATTCAAGAATAAAAAAGTTCACATGAAAAAATAGCCCATTTGGAATCCTTATGAACCAAATAAAAAAATTAATTGATCTCTTTTGTTATCATTCATTAACGATTACACTGATCAATGAAGGTTCCTGTTAACGGAGTGGCACAACTGATTTTTTTAATTAAACATACATTAATTTATAAGAGTTCAATTAGGTACACTTATTTTGT